TTAGATAATTTATTATATATCCTTTTCATTTAAATATTAATTTTAATCTCTTTTGATTATTATATATTTTAAGTAATTCGGAAAAGAATAATATTTTAACATATGTATACAATAAATCATACACGTATGATAGTAGAGCCAAAAAAAAAGCGAAACTTTACCGCAGATTTTATTAAAAACAGGGTTTAAAAATAGACATTATTATAAGATTCATCTATCAACAGTTAAAACTGGTTGGTTGACATATGTTCAACTAATTCTGAATAAAAATAAGCACTTTTGATAGATATTTTCCATCGATTTACAACATTATCCGTTTCGATAACAGAATTCTCGAAAGTGCTTCGGTAAAGAGGACTAAGATGTTCCTCAGCATCAACTTGTATGTCTTAAAAATGCTTTCGTTCGATCCTTTCGACCTGTAAACATTGCAAGTATTATAGAGAGTAATTTTTATTTAGAAAATGCTATTATACTATAATTCATTCAAAATATTTTGAAAACACAGCAAAAACGCATAATTTCTTGCTTTCTTTTGTAGTTTATGATTTTGAAGATAGCTGTGATTTTGCTTTGATTTCTGCTGTACTTAAATCAAAATAAATTACTGTATTAGTTTCGGTGAAATACTTTCTCAAATAGTTTAACCAATAGCATTTTCACAGGATTTCTTAGTTCAAAATTTATTAAATAATGATCAAAAATCTTTATTATTTTTAGTTCTCAATAGTTGTTTTATTTTAGCCAAATATATATATATATATATATATTTTCGCTTTATGTATCGACTTTTACAGTAGCTTTTATTTAATTTGTATCATTCATCTAACAGATTTCTAGTTTTTTTTCTACGAGACATTGAAAATATTCGGTTTGTTCTCGTTGTTTTCTTTAAACGCAAACACTGGGCATTAAACCATTGTTTATCAAATAATAATAAAGAAATATTTTTCTTAGCCATTCTACATCGTAAACGGAAGATAACAAAGTCGTTAATAGTTTATTATAATAGCTCTGAATCCATAAAAAAGGTCATTATATATCTTAGTCAAAGACTAAAATATACAACTGATTGATCAAAGGTAAATAATTAGAATTAAAAATATCAAGAACTCTAAAATCTAATAATCTATTTAATAAATTCACATTTACCGATCAACCAACTGTCAAAAATAAAGTAGATTTAGCCGGATAATCGGAGACATATCGACCGTTTAAAATATATAATCCATATGACTTAACTAATTGTAAAAATCCTTATCCACTTTGATTTATTATTAAATCATTAAATCTTCAGGGATTTAAAACATTAGTATTGAACCCAGCTTAAAAATTATTCAGTTCATAGCCTATTCTCAATTAAACAAGAATAATTATCAAGCTATAATTAACAGAAGTTTTCCTACAATTAAATCTAATTACTACAGTATCGGATCATTGGAGTTAAACAATAACTTCAAAAAAAACCCTAATTTATAGGAAAACTGCAAGAATAAGACTCCCATACGGACGACCGGGACCAATTGATTTTTACAATAGAAAAATTATCCATATATAAAATTTTAAAAGTCGGAAATTCGGTAGCTTCTTCCGGAAATTTTTCTAGGAGGTTTGTGTTTTAGGCTATTAAATTTCGATGGTTAAAGATGAACGGAGTGGAGAGATTGAGAGATGTCGTGTGTCATATCCGGAGTAGGATCGGGCTTAATAAATATTTTACTCGTAATTGGGTTGATAATTGGGCTCGTAATTTTCACTGCCGTACGTCTAATGTCTGTCCTTCCGTAGTTTCGAGTATTCAGTTAGGGAGATATGTGGGAGCTGAGGGGGAGAAAAATTTCAAAAACTCAATGAACGATAATATGTGATATATATTACCCTTGCCGTCTGGACTGCGAGCGTTAACAATCAACGACATGCGGAAGCAGTTGAGTCAGAGATAGATGCCTCGTTTACAACAACACAACCCGTTTATTAAACACGAAAGAAGCTTACGAGATTTCCGTGATCTTGGAAGTTCTGCGGTGGCTGCGTCCTCTGGGTCTTCCTCTCCTTTCCAAGATAGTCCCATTNACGATTTAAATACAGTATTTACTTTTAATATTATCGATATGTCATCGAAAAGAAAACGTGTTGTATTATCATTAAAAGACAAATTAAAGTATTTGTTTCGATTATCCGGATTTTTCCTTATCCGGACTACCTTCATCCCCAATTAGTCCGGATAATCGAGGTTCTACTGTATCTTAAAATATTCTATTAACGTACTAACCGAATATTAATTTATACAGGGTTTATTCATCAAAAAGTAAATTAAATTCGAATTTGTTAACGCAAAATAGAGCTTTTACGAGCCTTACGGTGGCTGCCATCTTATTTGCTGGTGTATTCAGCACCGTAAAAGACACTTGCAATTTGCTGCAAGCAACCAGAAGTTATCTGAGATATTGAACAGAGGTGCTAAGAGGTGCTGGCTGCACGCTGATATTTTGAATACATCTGTTGTTTGGCAACACGCGAGGTAATGCTCAAACAACGAGAAACAACGCCAAAATGAGCAGGAAAGTGTGTGGTTTTCTCAAAATTAGCAGTGAGGTCACGTGGGCACGTCCACGAAATCCGAGGCAACCGACGAAAACCGAGACAAGTTTTTCGCAAAAAATAGACGAAAACGGAAACCGTAAGTAACCGAAGTGAACGAAATTCGAGGTATCACTGTACTGTACATTATATCTTACTCTTTATTTTTTTATTAAACTTATTATTTAGTTAACCTGTCAACGTCTTTATTAGGAGAACGGTCCTCTATCGGCGGATCTATTTATCCCTATCTATTTGTTTTGTCTCTTATCTTCTCACTCCCTCTACCTTTAAGAAGCAAAATTTAACAGCACCAATCACCGTAATACTCAAACCTCCCTGCAAAATTTCAGAAATTTTCGACAAAAATCACGGGAGTTATAAGCTTTAAAGAGAGTTAATAAAATCGAGCCACACACAAATATTCATACAGAAATTATTTTGCATTTCTTGACATTTCAAGGTCTCCTGATTCCAAACATGCAAAAAGCTGTGAAGGTCATTACTATCGCAGTGCTTTTCTCTTATATATAACAGCCGGAAAAGTCACGTTTAATTTGTATTTATACAGCAGTTTTGGACAATTTAACGTAAGAAATATTAGACAAGGAGTAATTTCAATATTCTGTGTATTGGTAAATGGGAGTGCTACAGGACAATAATAATCTTTCTTCCAATACTCTAGGTATACCTGTTTTACAACCGCTCGTATTTATGATCAACTCTCCAGCCCTTGGAATTCTCTTTCTCAGTTTGAGTCTCGAGGAGCCCCTTTCGTAGTGTTACTAACATTACGAAAGGGGCTATTATGTAAGATATCGGTGAAAAGAAAGAGCACGACTTCACGTGGAGGAAGAGACAAGAATCGAAGGAAGGACAACAGAGGTGAAAGTGAAGCAGACTTGAAAGAGGAAAGAATAGAAGTTCAAAAGAAGTTCACCATAAAGGAGCTCTCCAAATTAAACGAACAAGGTGTAAATCCAAATGTTTGAACAGTTGACAAAAGTGTAACTGCAAATGAATAAACTTTTATGATGCTGTGGTAAAATTTAGGAGGTAAAAAGGGGACTTACAAAGCAGATCATTCTAACCAGATTCTTATCAAAAGCTACATCTAGAACTCCTACCCCTATAAGTATCTCTAGTTCTTCGTAGTCATCTGTTATATAGTCTCTCTATACCTTCTGATAATCCTGCTGATAACTCCGATGATAACACTGATGACCCGGAACCATTACAATCCTTTTAAGGATTCGATGACTAAAATATTATTCTGAATGACTTTCTTAATTGAATGAACTTTAATTTTTTGTACATTTTAATGATAATATTTTTCTCTTGTAATATGTAAGAGATGTAAATTAAAGCAAAGTTATCATTATATATAAAGCAAAGTATATATCATATAATTAAGTATATTTGAAATAAGATATTAAAGACAGTTAAAAATACAGCTTTATTAATCAATCAATTACAATGCCAGCGAATTTACTAAACTGGATGTTTTTTTAATGTACCGTTTTTTACTGTACCATAACGAAAACAGTAATTTTGAGTAGATATGATACAATATCGGTATTTTGTCGATACGATCCAATAGGCTGATATTGTCCAACCAACTTAGCCAAGACAATCGACGCAACTAGACATGTATTTATAAAATAGAATAGCGCTTTTCCTAATACAGAGGGGAATTTTACATGTAGAAAGGCTTTTGAAAGAAGGAACATACTTTTTAGCGTCACTTTCTTTCAAGGAAAATTGATATTTTCTTTTAAGAAGGCAACAATTTAGGAATTGAGATTGGACTATCTTGTCTTAGACACCATGGATTGTTCTTCTAATCTTATTACAAAGTTATAATAAGTTTTAATTTTTAATTTAAAATGTTAAATTCTATTTATTCCTTCAGGTAAATTCAAGATTTTTACTATCTGACTCATGAAAAACTTAACAATCTATTTTTTTAGTTTTTATTCTCTTTTCAAATTTAACTTAAAATGAAGTAAACGAATATACTATAAATAATAAAGACAATTTTAGATCGTTTTATTGCTTTTTCGTTTCGTAATATATTTTTAGAATTTCAAAAATTAGACTATTTATGAAATGGCTTTATTTGTCTCTGTCACTATACAGTGTAATTAATTATGAAACTGCGAAAACATTGATTGATTTTTGCATTTTATTTAAATATTTCTATTACAATTTATGTCAACTTTCGAAATTACTTTTTCTTTTAAACAAATGCCTGTTGGTAAAAGTGTAGCAACAAAATTATTCTTCTGTACACTTTGTTTTGACGCAGTCATGTCCACCTAACCTATCAAATGAAGAAAACAAAAAAAAAAAACGAATATTTCATATCATTACAATACAAATATTCTTAGTTTGTTTAATTTATATTGAACATTACTTACTTTAGTAGATTTGCTATGTTGTTACGGGTACAAGGAGAAAATTTCGTTCCATTTACTTCGTTACGAGAACCCATAATATATCCATAAGAACTAGGACAGTTTTTAGATCCTGGACTGTTAGGAACACTTGATACTGGTCCTTGTCCGTCATGGGGACTACCCAGTCTAAAAAACGTACATTTTTAATTACTCATTCACTTTACACCGTTAGTAATAATAATAGTTTTAATGTTCTTACATGTGACAACTTTCGTGAGCAATAGTGTCACTTCTCTCGTAGATATTAGTGTCATCAAACACAACTCCTGTTTTGTAACACTCATCACAAATTACTCCTACATACGCTATGCCTGTAAAACATTTTGTAAATATATACTTATGATTTTATACCATAATAATAAAAAAAACCTATACTTATATACCAGCTATTCCTGTACTAATCGATCCGTCAGATACCATTACGCCAAATGTTCGTCTACAACACAAATTATTAATTAATATAGGTTTTTTTATGAATAATTTACAACAATACTTACTTAGATATAACGAAAATAATATCAGCTTCATCAGTATTAAAGTTTTCTCTCGACTGGCAAAGGTAATCTCGTGCACCCCCAATTAATTTATTAGGATCGATATAGTTTTCATGACTTTTAATAGCACTATTTTTCATGAATTCCGGTTCAGTTTCTTCCTAAAGCCAAATTTAAATAATATTTATAAGAATAATAAAAATTAGAAAAATTCTCATTGCTGTATTGACTTACAGTAAAACTTATTGCCTTAACCAAACTGACTTTAATTCTCAGATCTAACGTATCCATGAAATTTTGAACCTGAAATTTAAAGAAATTTCTTTACTAAAAGTAAATTAATAATTATTTCCTTGCTTAAAATAATATTTTAAATGCTGAATAACCTGAATCAAAGTAACTGATAAATATTCTTCTAATGTTACAGTGTCATTTTCGAAGGCTTTTGTAAATTTGCTCTCTGTTAAGAATATGTATTTTAATTCTACACATTCAATATCTTCTGCAATTCTGGAGAATTTTCTATTGTACGTTTTATTTTCTACGTCAGGAGTAACAACTGCAAGAGAAATTTCATTTAAAATTAACTAGAAAATGTATTTGAAAATTACATAATGTTTATTTACTTTTACTTATAACACGAGATCGTTGGTCTTGTAACACTTCTATTATACGATGAGCTCTATTGCCATATTTATCGATGTTTTCCGTATCTAAAGGCTTAATTCTTAAATCAGAGCTTAAAATTCCGTTCTGAAAAATATTTAAAGCTGCATCATTTGTTTAAATAAATCGATGCTAATGAATAACTTACAATGGATAATGGTCCTTCTTCGTTAATATGCAAAGCTACACCTTTTTCTTTATTTCTATAGAGATTTCTCTTTAAGAATTCAATATTGATCTTCCGAAAGACAGGTAAAGAAATAATAATACTTTAATAATTCGATATCAAGCAAATTATTAATTAATTCAAATATTAAATTTGAATTTAGATACCTGTTTTTGTTTTTGATCATCGCTTACGACAGCAAAGTCATCAGATATTACTTCACCTGCTGGTTCCAATTTCAGTTCTATATCTCGATCAAAAGTTCGAAATTTTATTATCTTTATTCCAGATCTTAATGTTTCTACAGACGGATACACTACATCAATTCGGCCTGTATTTTTCAAAAAAGAAACGGGTTAATGCCGCATTTAATATTAATGTATAATATAATTCTATTTACCAGTTGGAATAGCCGAAATGACCACACAGAAAGAAAAACTTAGCAAGTAGATTAACATGGTTGCTCTGTATATACGAAATGTTTCGGTTCTTTATATATATATTAAATGATAAGTCCCCAGAGAAAAAAAAAATTAGCACGTGTTATATCTCGCAGATGTTATTTTTAAGTCATAAAATCGGTTCTTGAATATGTCATTCAATCTCCATCCTGTGATAAAATTTATGATATTTCGACTTTATGACCTATTTTTATCTTTTAAAATATTTTTAATTCTATTCCGTATTTTACGATTTAAATATTTACTCTAACAACTCCGTAAATTTACAAAAAATTGTAAATTAATATCCAAAGAAAAAGAATAAAGGTTTCGGTTAAAATAATATGCAAAATAGAAATTACCGTATTTGATAATTGATTTTAAACAATTAAAATTTGATTTAGTGAAAAATCTTTGGAAAATTCTAAGATATAATTCGTTAAACATAATATGAATCAATACTGTAAATTTACTTGACTAAAATGAAAATAAAATGGACATTTTGTCATATACCTATTTATTTATTATTATAAAAATTTTATAATNATAATAATAATATAAAATTTTTATCTACACATAGACAAGAATAAAAATTTGTTTTAAGAGAATAGCATCATAATAAATTTAATTTCTTTGGTTGGTTTAATTTTATAGAATACGGCAAAGCAATATACAGGTAATCTGCCAAGATGGGTCCCAGCACTTTCTATGAGAAATTGGTCTTTATTTATGTAAAGAAAACCCTAAAGTTTATTAAATATATGTATAAGTATATTTGGCACCTGGAGAAAGATTTTAAGCTTCGCATTTAAAAACATTATAGAACACAAGAAAGTACACATATTGTAAAATTTATTTTTAGTTCTATGTAGCAAAATTATACAAAATTCCTTCCAGTATTAATATTTTTTGAAATTTTATGTTTTATTCATATAAATATCAAGCTGTTTATCTTATAAGCATGCTTTCCTCCTCAAATTAGTAGTGTCTTGTCCTGTACATCATGCTTTTCCTGTTACAATGAAGTCGTGCCGGCCATTTATCTTACTGGTTTCAAGGTAAAATATTTGAATTAAAATAACCTGACTTACGGTACAAATCGGAAGTTCGTGTATAGTTCATCAGGACTTCTTGCCCCAATGCTTTCCATATCTGTTTTTAAATTTTATTTATCTAACACTCTTCCTGAGATTAGGAAAGAACAGACGAACGGACGGACGACAGTGGCAATTTATCTACAATTTTTTCAAATTTCAGCCCAATTATCAAGTACACGTTATACAGTATAAGGTAATTAAACTCTATTGATATTTGATATTTCTAGTCCTTGACTCTTTCACTTTTCATAATGAGATTCTTACCTCACCTCTCTTTTGATCGTTCAATTACCCATTAATGGTAATTTTTATACTCTAAATATTTTATTACTTGACTATGTTCCGTAATACAGACTAAAACAAACTTTAAAAACTTCCATAATATAATAGAACGTTGTTTTTTTTAAATAAACAACTAAAGATGTGGTATTATGATTCAAACGAGTTTAACAAANGTGCGGTGCTATTCCTTATCATATTTTATTTAAATATTTACATATTATTTACATATTTCATTATTATAAAATTCAGCCTGTTGACTCGAGTTTTCATTATCACCCCCTTCATTAGCTTCTAACAACGTTGCCTTGTTTGGCTACTTTGCATCAAAATGAGCCACACTTTTTTCACTATTGTTTTATACTTTAATTTGTATTCATTGCTGTAATTCTAGTTTAAATTGAAATTGTAAATTTTGTTTAATTGAAATGTTTAAAATTTCAGTGAAATAAAGTGCAATTTTAAAATTTCTTTTTATGAAACTCGATTGAAACCAGAGAAGAAGGAAGAGGGTTAACGAAATCTTAATCTTACGTAATTGTTAAGGGGTCAACATAAGGTTTACTTTTACCTACTAAGGAGGGAGGAACTCAAAAAACAGGAAAATATGCTTACGTAATGTTTGAACGGTTTCTAATACTAAAACGATACAATTTCTACTTCTCATGTTTTTTACTTTGTTTTAGAAATTAATTCAAACACTGCCTCTCAAAAAGGTATTGTTACTGATGGAACTATCTTTAGGTATAATATTTATGACGTAAAGAGAAGATGGGTGTTGAGGAAAATACATGTACTGTATTGTCAATTTTATCTATTTCAAGGGCTGTTTTATTATTCAATAAAATAAAATTTTTATTCAAATCTTAGATAATTTTATTGTTAAATACTGTATTTCTGTAATAAATATATTATTTTTTAATTTCTATAATAAAATTAGCTTATAAACTGAAAAGCTCAAAAGGTGTTCAAAGCTGTAATGATAATTTAATTACAGTATTTTAAATTTTAATTTTTTAATTTTATTATTTTTCAATGTCTGGAATTTATGATGTATTAAACAGATCTGGCAATAAATGAGAAAAATGCTTTAAATTTTATTGCTTCCATTTTTCATTATAAATAGAGGAGAAGGTGGTATTATGGAACACTGCGGGTATTATGGAACCACCCCATTTCGAACTGATAATAAAGGCGAACTGTAGCGAAATGTGGCTGAACTGAACTAGGCAGACATCCATAGCAAGAGAAAAACCCGTTTAACTGAAGTAAAACGGTTGTCCGCATTTAATCAGCAAATTTGTTTTTTTCAAAATTCGCAAGTTTTGAATGCTAGGTGAATTTAATTATTTTTAAAATATAAATCGTGTAGTTGTAGGTTCAGTGGTGCATGTATTCCGTTCCAGAGACTTAGGGGTAATATTAATCTGTGTGATGTTCACGTTTTTTTAAATTTTGGTCTTGACAGACATAAGTTAATTCAAGATGGCGATGCGTGAAATACGGACATTGGTGCTTTTACAATAATATGGAACTCAACTCCTCCGAACTTTGTATTTGCAAGCAGACATTCCTCCAGAGCAATTTGTGAAAAAGACACTAGGTAGAAAGCCAATTCTTCCCGAGAATATCGAAAAAGAGCTGCTGGAATATATATTGTTGATGGAGGTCATATTTTTCTATTATAAAAGCATTTTTGCGATAAAATACATTGGAGTAAATAATTTTGTAATTATTTAACATTTTTTGTC